GTGGGGCCCGGCCACCTGCCCTTCCGCACACGAGGGCTGGGCATCTCTGTGGTCCTCGGAGCGGGCGCTGTGTCCTCAGGCTGGCGGTGGGAAACTGAGGCCTGGAGACTTGGATAAACTTGGCCTGGGTGTCGGCCCCAAGGCCAGGGCCCCTCCCTCCATTCCTCGCCAGCAAGGCCGGCCAGGGCCCACTCAGGGCGCATGCGGCTGTACACATGGGTCCTTCTCATCCCCCTCCCACGGTGCCTCATGTCCATGTCACAGGGACTCAGGCCCCCACACTAGCCAGCTTGGGGCAGAGCAAAGCGCTGGCCGGAGCCCAGGGTCCCAGCAGCGCTGGCTTTTCGAAAGAAGAGCTGGCCTCACTCCTCGTTAGCGTTAATAGCGGCTCCAGCCTCAGCCCCAAGCCCAGCCCAGCCCGCCTGTGCCGGGGGTCAGGTGTTTAACCCAGAGTGACCGGCCTGGCCTGGCTGTGCTGCGGGGGTGGGGGGTGGGGGGGTTGCACCAGCCCACAGGCCTCGAGCCTCAGTTATCACCTTGTGAACTGGAGAGGACTCTATGTCATCTGGCTTGGGGCGCCTTCATGTGGGTGCAGAAGCTTCCAGATGCTGGTGCCTCCCCTCTCCTCCCCCCCTCCATCCCCCCGGCCGTTTCCCCAGGGAGAAGAGCTAGTTGAGACATTTACCCATCAGCTGGACGTCTGGCGTCACGGGTCCACCCACAGAGTCCTCGAAGGGGTCCCAGGCGACCCTGAGAGCCCATCTGGAGTGGGAGAGGGAGGTCTTTGCTGTGGGATTTCAGCTTTGGGGCAGGGGCGGGGGGTGAAACTGTGCGGGTTGCACCAGCCCACAGGCCTCGAGCCTCAGTTATCACCTTGTGAACTGGAGAGGACTCTATGTCATCTGGCTTGGGGCGCCTTCATGTGGGTGCAGAAGCTTCCAGATGCTGGTGCCTCCCCTCTTTCCCAGGAGAGAAGCCGAGCCACAGCCTGTTCCTCCAGGACAGTGGACGCCGGGAGATGAACTTTCTCTCTTTGCCGTGGCTGCCAGGCGGCTCCCAGCCGAGCTTCTGCCCCATGGTCAGCACGTGGGCAGCTCGGTCTCAGGCTGCGCCTGCCTGGGTGGCATTGGCACAGGTTCCCGAGCGCCCAGCTGCGGCACACGCCCTGCGGCTCCCTCAGGAGCTTTCCAGAACGAGCCAGACGAGGAAGCGAGAGCTCCGTCAGCACTGGTAGCATCTCACCCCGGGCGGCCCTGGGAGCGCTCAGTGACCTGTCATCTGAGGCAGGTGGGCCTCATCCCCCTCCCACGGTGCCTCATGTCCATGTCACAGGGACTCAGGCCCCCACACTAGCCAGCTTGGGGCAGAGCAAAGCGCTGGCCGGAGCCCAGGGTCCCAGCAGCGCTGGCTTTTCGAAAGAAGAGCTGGCCTCACTCCTCATTAGCGTTAATAGTGGCTTCAGCCTCAGCCCCCAGCCCAGCCCAGCCCAGCTCGCCTGTCCCAGGGCTCAGGTGTTTAACCCAGAGTGACCAGCCTGGCCTGGCTGTGCTGCGGGGGTGGGGGGTGGGGGGGTTGCACCAGCCCACAGGCCTCGAGCCTCAGTTATCACCTTGTGAACTGGAGAGGACTCTATGTCATCTGGCTTGGGGCGCCTTCATGTGGGTGCAGAAGCTTCCAGATGCTGGTGCCTCCCCTCTCCTCCCCCCCTCCATCCCCCCGGCCGTTTCCCCAGGGAGAAGAGCTAGTTGAGACATTTACCCATCAGCTGGACGTCTGGCGTCACGGGTCCACCCACAGAGTCCTCGAAGGGGTCCCAGGCGACCCTGAGAGCCCATCTGGAGTGGGAGAGGGAGGTCTTTGCTGTGGGATTTCAGCTTTGGGGCAGGGGCGGGGGGTGAAACTGTGCGGGGACTGGTGAGTTAGCAGCCCCCGGGACTCAGGCAGGTCCCACCACCTGCCCCC